CTCTAGCTCTGAATGGAGGGATGAGTCTGAGGCTCCTCCTCTTCTCTAGCTCTGAATGGAGGGATGAGTCTGAGGCTCCTCCTCTTCACTAGCTCAGAACTGTTACAGGACGTGTATTTTGTAAATTGTGTCACGTTTTGTTGTTGTTTCTTTTATTATATTATTTCTTTTTGTTTTACTTTAATAATTTTGTATGCATGCTTCTACGTAACATTAAGCTGCCTTTGTCTCTTTTCTGTTGTAACAACGTACATTTCCCCTCTGAAGAGTATCCTGATTGATTTGACCTGGGGGCACATGCGTAGATATCGACACAAAAAAAGAGATTTGGGGGAAGCTGGGTTAATCGGGACATGAGAGTACACAGGTACAAACAGACAGAAAGACAAAAGACTCTGAAGTATCTGAAGTAACTCTGATGATCCTATGAGCAGAGGTAACTCTGATGATCCTCTGAGTAGAGGTAACTCTGATGATCCTCTGAGTAGAGGTAACTCTGATGATCCTCTGAGTAGAGGTAACTCTGATGATCCTCTGAGTAGAGGTAACTCTGATGATCCTCTGAGCAGAGGTAACTCTGATGCTCCTCTGAGCAGAGGTAACTCTGATGTATTGATCCTCTGAGCAGAGGTGTCTCTTGCTCTTCCTCTCCCGGGGGGGTCCTCAGGAGAGCCAGTCTCATCATAGCGTCCGATGGTTTTTGCGACTGAACTTGAGGATACATTCAAAGTTCTTGAAATGTTCCAGATCGACTGGCCTTCATTTCTTAAAGTGAGGATGAACGGTCGCTTCTCTTCACTGAGTTGAGTGGTTCTTGCCATAATATGGATTACAACAGTAGTCAGATAGGGCTTTCCACTGTGCACTAACCCTACCTCTGCACAACACAACTGATGCTCTCAAACACATTAAAAGTCATTCCACAAATGGACTCTAGACAAGGCCCACGTGTTAATAGAAAACCATTCCAGGAGACGACCTCATGAAGCTGACTGAGAGAAGCCCAGAGTGAGCAAAGCTGTCATCAAGGCAAAAGGGGGCTACTTTGAAGAATATAAAAATATAAATCATATTCCGGATTTTTTTATCACTTCTTTCATAATTTTGATGTCTTCAGTATTTATCTGAAAAATAGAAAATAAATAAAAAATAGAAAAAACTTTGAATTTGACTGAGTCTCCAAAGTTTTGACTGGTAGTGCATATACATACATATACGTATATGTATGCAAGTATTGCTAATGCCATTGTTTTAAAGTTTTTGTACATCGTCCTCAGTCTCAAATGCTTAAATTGTTTATGGAGGCATTCAAATGTAAGACTGGTAAATTAACACTGAAAACTCCTGGTTGTTTTGACATTAAGTCATACTGGGATGTTTGCTGAAATTGATTGCATGTGGCACAGCCCTAGCTAGAAAAAATTCCACCAGCCGCCACTGGTATTATGTTTCTTTTAATGTAAGAAATGAGTTGTACACAGAGGACATTTCGATAAGGCAAGGTTTGCTGTACTGTAGCCTTATTTACCCACACTTTCCTCTCTCTTCTAAGTATCTTTCAAATTAGATCCTGAAAGAACTTTTAAACAAATGATACTTACTGTGACTGCAATGTAAGACATTTGAGTATTATAATTGTTCAGAGATCTGACCTCAGCTCTCACTATTGTTAACTGGCAGCAGTGAGGCTCATGTAATTGGGTAAGCTTTCCCGTGGTCCAAATGTTGGTACGGTAACAGAAGATAAGCTTTTCTCTGAGTTGGGCTCTTTTATCTTGCGTGTATATTTTGCAACAAGTGCAGGAGCAGTTTGTTCTCATCAGGCCTGAAAAGAGCCTTTGTTTGGCTGTGAACACCTGGACAGAGGTATCTCAGTCTCTCTCTCTCTCTCTCTCTCTCTCTCTCTCTCTCTCTTTTCTCTATCCATCCATCTTTCTAAATCTGATTTGTTTTCACCTTCTTTCCTCCCCCTCTCCCTTTTAAGTTAGGGTTAGGTTTGTGTGTGTGTGTGTGTGTGTGCGTGCGTGCGTGCGTGCGTGCGTGCGTGCGTGCGTGCGTGCGCCTGCCTGCCTGCCTGCCTGCCTGCCTGCCTGCCTGCCTGCCTGCCTGCCTGCCTGCCTGCGTGCGTGCGCATGTGCGTGCGTGCGTGCGCGTGTGCGTGTGTGTGTGTGTGTGTGGAGTATATTTGAGAGCAGGGCAGTGAGCAGTGTTGCTTTTTGTTTGCTCTGGGGGCAGGCATTATTTGACCATACAGTATATGTTTTTTTTTACTTTCAATATTTAGGGTTCCTTTTTACTATTTCTGATTAACATGTCTCTGAAAGGAGTTATTCATATTAATTTCATTTGTTTAAACATTAAAATACATTTTATTCAAATAAATGATATCCTTAAATAAAGGATATCATTTATTTCCTTGGAATGAATCCCATGCCTTGAACTAATTAGGTTTTTATTATTTCTTTATTTCTTGTTTTAATTGTTATGCATTTAGTTCATAGCTTCTTTGGCTTTTAATTGAGTTGTTTTTTAATTCTTCTGAATTCACTCAAACTCATGCTGAGGCTGTACATTTTGTGTATTAAGAAAAAATACATCGTTAATATTATTATGTGTCTTTATGTATAAATGAGCATATATATGACAGTAACACCACATCAAAATACATCATCATTATTTGTTTATATCATATTGACTACTTATGCTGGTTTATAGGTCTAGGTCACCAAGCTAATTCATTTATAATGATTTACGCAGCAGTGTTTTTTGTTCCGGCCAACAACAACAAATATTTAAAAAATATACGGATGTTATGCACCTTGGTCCATTATGCATCATTTTGAAGTAGCTTTTGCAAGTTTTAATGATATATACATAAATTAGGTTTAAAAAAAAATTGTTAATTGCGAGTATAGTACTTCTAATATTTACGTGACTTTCTACAATATCGTATTACCCTCCTACATAGACAATGTTTCTTAAGGTTTCTTCAATGATATCCCAGGGTACATTTATTCTGCTGATGAGATATTCAGAATCAATAAGTTGAAACAATCGGTAAGAACATCAAATTGAAACTAGAATTTCAAGTAACATTCTCTTTAAGAACTCATAAACAAACTCCCACACACTCAACCACCTACTCAGAGGTTTTATGTTCCGCATGAGCGAAGTGCATCATCCCCTGTTGGCTGTTAATTTCTCCGCCTGGAGGCTGTAATGGCGAAAGGAGTACAGTTGAAGAGCTGCTGTTACACTCACAGCTTCCTGAGTCATATTACCCAACACACAATTCAATAAAAGCCTAACAAAAGGGTCATTTATGAATGTGAATTATAAATACACTACGTTTTAAAGTATCTCATATATTTTATTGTATGCAATTATATTACAAATTATACATTAAAATGACATTATTTGACACTTGAGCCATTAGAACATTTATTTTGAAATATGTCGGAAGGGAACCAAGTGTTTAGGGAACACAAAGTAAAAAAAAAAATCACAAAACTCAGACAGCTCGTACTTGTTATCCAATCATTGTTAAACCCAATAGAAGCAGTTCTGTGTCAGTCTAAGAGCCTGATTTATTGTCTTCCTCTGAGCCATAGAGGTCCATTGTTGTTAAAAGCTCATGCACTGGGGGACATTTTCCAGTATTACAATGAACAAACACTCTTGAACACAAATACTGTACTTTATTTTAACTCAATCCCACATAAATCACTTGCTGCCACAAATACTCCCTATAGAACAACATGTGGGTTAATCCACTGAAAAAAGGCCCAAACAAATGCTCTTTTTTCTACAGTTGATACAATTTAACAAAAAAAACAAACATTTGAACTCGAAAGAAGAGTTTTTGATGGTCAAACCAAGAACATTCATGGTGGCTGTGTTGAACTCTCACATGCTGTTAAACCTTGTTCAACTATAGTGCAGGTTGCTGCTTATTTGCATGGGTCTTGGCCCATGCTTTGCATTTCGTATTGTTTCCTGGCTTAACCTGCCAAGTACTCCCTTGTTACACAAAAAGGCCCAAACAAATGCTCTTTTTTCTACAGTTGATACAATTTAACAAAAAAAACAAACATTTGAACTCGAAAGAAGAGTTTTTGATGGTCAAACCAAGAACATTCATGGTGGCTGTGTTGAACTCNCCCCCACACTGTCCCTTTGAGTCTCTCTGTCATCATGAAGTGTTAGAACGTGAGAAATGAGCCTGCGAAATACTGTTGTCCTAATTAAACTTTGACACATGAAGTGATGAAGGCGAAACAATAGCAGACTGTGTATGAGTGCAAGCCCGGAGCAGGCAAGCAGCTTTGTCCTCAAGAACAAAAGCATGTGTTTGCATGTGTTCAAATCCATTCAGCTTCACCAGGCCCAGGTGCAAAGACCTACAACTTATAGAGCTTTGATGAGCAGCCTGTAGTCGCTCCACAGAACCAGACAGAGCCGCTGTGCTGTTATGTCAATGCGCAGCACAATGAACTCAGTCTTGCTACTTTCACTGCCTGGACTGAAAGACGAGTGGGACATTTTACCTCTGGTTTTCCTTTTACTCTTTACTGAAAGGTACCCCACAGACAGCTTGTGAATGCTTGCTCATCTTACCAGTTAAAATACAAAAGAAAATGCACTACATGTATTTCCCGTGTCATGAGTCATGACTTTACATTTTAAGTAGGTATGTAACAGCAGGTGCATGGAAGAGTGTCCCATGACTGTAAGAGTAGAACTCCCTCATGTGTGAGCTGAGGGCGGAGCTGCTGTGTGAGGAGGGAGGACCTCCACAGTCCTATAAGAGCCAGTGGATGGGCTCACATTGCAGTAGACTGGACTGCTGAGCCAGAATGGCACAGAACGGAACCCCAGAGAACGGAGTGGCTGAAGATATCCCAGCTTTACCTGCCCCTGTCACAGCTCAGGAGATCAGACACACTAAGGTAAGGTGGTGGGTCACCTGATTCAGACATGGCTAAGAACTTTTACTTTATATTTTGATGATGATAGTTATGTTTAGGTGCCTGTGAAGCAGACACCAAAGCCTGTGCACACTCTTCTCCTCCCACAGATCTTTATCGGCAATGAATGGCACTCATCTAGCAGTGGAAGGACTTTTCCAACTTTCAACCCGGCGACAGGTGTCAAAATATGCGATGTGGAAGAAGCAGACAAGGTAAGAATCTGGCAGGCATATAAGACATTCTACTCCAAGAATGCTATAAATGAAATAAGTTTAGGTTTACATACTGTTACACTGAATTACCAAGAGATTATTATTGTTTGTCTGTTTTTGGCTATTTCAATATCTGTTAGCTCAGAACACAAGCAAAAAGATGAGAATATTTTTCTTTTGCTTATTGTATCTTCACTGTATCGTTTTATATCTACAAAATAGCTTTGTTACTGCTCGCTACTGGACATTTTGATAAATGGAGGTAACTTGGGAGTTGAAATATTTCAAGACAAAATGTTTTATTATTAATCCATTCCGTTTACATGCTTTTAACATTATAAAATGCAAACGTCAAACATTTCAGAAAGTCAGGCACAGCCAGACTTGTGTTACAGCCTTTCTGTGTTGATACGGGGATCTGTGTCCTGACTGTTTCCCCTTCATGGTGCCTCATGTCCGCGTAGACAGATGTGGACAAGGCAGTGCAGGCGGCCAAGGCGGCCCAGCAGAGGAGCTCTCCGTGGCGGAGGATGGATGCGTCCAGCCGGGGGAGGCTGCTGCACGCACTGGCCGACCTGATGGAGAGGGACCGGCGGCTGCTGGCGGTGATTAAAATCAAGCCCTCTTTATTCGCCTCACACATGCACATGTACACAGCACACACAGCAGCCTACACAGCTGCTCTTTAGCAACGTGCTCCCTTAACATCTAATTGTCTTTAATTTGCATATGATGGACGTATACAGTTTAAGAAATACAGAATCATTTAGAATTTTCATTTTTAGGACGTACTGCTATTCTGTACTCCAGCTATCCTGTAATGAAAGACAAAAACGTTTTAAACAGTCTTAATGGATAACATCAAACTACATATTGACTGGTTCCAGAACTTGGAATCAATATTTGATGTCATGATGTATTCAAATTCTGTATGAAATTCAAAAGTCTTGCACTCAAAATTCCTCTGCAGTAAGGGTACTGTACAGAGCCATTACAAGCAAAGTGTATATTAATATAGTCATTATGCAGCAGAACAGAATGTGTTTATTATAACTGATACATTCACTTTAATGAATTGCTCTAGTGATGGTTAAAAGTATTTTTATACTGATTATTTGCATTTAAATGTATCATATTTTATATTATTTGTTATTTTATAAATCTTATTCGGCTAAAAAAGTACAATATTTATCTCTGAACTGTACTCTACACTAAAAAGTTATGGTTATTGTCCTTGAGGCGTAAAGCGTAGCCTCTAGCATAACACATAAATACTTAACCAGATTATCGGAACTGTATTTAGTTACTTAAATAACCTTAGTAAATGTATTAAGTTACTATTCACTACTGCTGATTTCTTCCTTCTAACCCCTCGATTCCACCGGGTCCGTCTGCGTCGCGTCACGGCTGCGCTGCGGTTTTGGTCCGGCCTCTTCCGGCATCATACCCTACCGGACACGTTTCAGGAGCGTTTCAGAAGCATTTCAAAAGCGGAGCGTCTTTCGTGCCGGCTCGCAGTTTTTGTTGATTTGGGCATATTTCCTGGACAGGCTACTTTGTACAAACAAAGTTAATAATAATTGTAATATTCCAGTTATAAACGACATGAATCAAAGATGTGTTGCTGTATTTTAGTGGTGAAAAAATACATTCATCATCATAATTATTCTATATACCGGTATATAATTTACACAGTGCCTGTAAACCGGAGGAGAACGCTGGCATTTCTCCTCCTACTTGAAAGACTACGGAGGGATAGGGTCTGCAAAATGTGTTTATTTTGGGGATTGAATGGATGCTCTGACCGGTCCACTTCCTGCCTGGCGCTATGCAACGCGTCGTGTCGAAAAATTGACCAGCATCCTATTTTTAGCGGAGCCCAGCGCTGAGACGCTTCTGGGACGCTTCTGAGCCGTAACGTGGCGCGTCTGGTGGAATAGCACCCATTGACTAGAGTGGCCGCGATCGCTGAGAACGCCGCGGCGCAGCCGTAACGCGGCCGTAACGCGGCCGTAACGCGGCCGTAACGCAGCGCAGACGGAGCCGGTGGAATCTAGATCAAATTCATAACAATATCTCAATGAAAGAAGCAAGTGCTTTTCAGAAGCATCTCACTTATGGGGTTTTACTGCATCTGTGCAGTTAGTATGTTGTCTTATTCATATCAGGAATTTGCATACAGTATGGCATACAGTATGTCATATCATGACATCATTACATTGTGACCCCGCCCCAGACAATTTTCTTCTCTTGGTAATGATTCCTGGATGTTACTCTCCCTTTCTTTCAGATACTGTTGGGAATGAATGTTACTGTGCCTGTTCACTCTGTAGAGCTGCCAGCTTGCATTAAGTCTCAGATCCGTAAATGAAGCCTTACAGATGTGAGCAGTGTGAGAAAAAGTTTTTAGAGAGTACTTGTCCATGGACAAGTGAGTTTGGCAATTTACTTGTCCGAATACATTTTTCACTTGTCCAGAATGGACACAAATTGGGGCCACTGGAATCTTCTTCTTTGCCATCGTATTTTACATTTTCCCACGGTTTTTACGACACCGGTAACATAAGTGAGCGGTAAGATTTTACTGCATCACACATAGGGTTGGGTATCGTTTGGATTTTAACGATTCCGGTTCTGCTTTTCGATTCCAGTTATTTTCGGTTCTCGATTCCGGTTCTTTGAGAGGGTAAAAATAAGTCCCATGACAAGCTGGAGAAAAATATATTTATGAAAACATTAAGTCAAATCTGTATTCCTATTTACAAATCACTTCATACTGTTTAATTTCTTACGGTTATTGAATACAATTATATAAAAATAATCTCTGCATTGTTTAGTTCGTTCTAAGTGGTGCAGTTTGAGAATGTACAATTGGCCCAGTCTCCTCTGATGTTACACTGCAACCTGCCTGTGAGACAGAGTCCAACGAGGGGCGAACTGGGGGGTTAAAAGTGGCCCGGGGATTCATTGACAGACAGCCCCACTTAATGCGTGGCATGTATCGGCTGGCCGGCGACGAAAGTATGTAACTTAACAAAAAACCCTATGCATTTTATGTTATTTTGGACAATTATT